TTCCCAACCACAGTCAATAAAGAGCAGTTACGTGGCACTCCTGATCCGCTTGTAATAATACGAAAAAGAAACTAGAAGGTCTATTTTGTCAGAATATGCTCATTAGAATGTGTTTTTTATAGTCGGAGTTAAAAAAGATGAAAATCCAACCCAGACAGATGTACTTTGAGTACTAGGTCTCATTATATTAAAGGAAGCCAACAATCGTTCTTTCACTAAAATTTCAAAGGGTGAAACGCGTGAAGTACTCATCCATTTTTAAGGAAATATTTTCTTAGTTAGATTGCATCGGTAAATAAAGACGTCATTCTTAAATTCGGATTCATTTAAGAGGGAGGTGATCTAAAACTTCTGGAACGGAATTCTAGACTAAAGTTAAGTTTATCATTAGTGCACCCGACCAGTGTACAGGGCATTAGCCTATACACTGGTTAAGAAACTTCTCTAATAATTTCCAGCCACTTTTTTTGTTAAAAGGCAGTTAATTGTAATTTGTTTAACCCTCTGACAATATGGGCAGTTTTCTAAGTCTGCCTTGAAGTGCTAATTGTCTCGTTAATCCGCACCAACTACAATGTAAATTTATAAAATGTGAGAGTGTCTGAGATGCCCACCATTTTCAAAATTTCAGAGCATTTGCTAATCTTTCTAACCTCTACGCATGACTTTTCTTCTCCGTAATAGTGAGGGATGTCTTTCAATCAGTTCTTGCTGACCCTAAATAGTAATAGTGAACAGAATTCTGTTTTTAATTTTTATTAGGCATTTAAGATATTCAAATAAAACACCAGCTTTAGTGTCCTCCTAATGCATAAATTGGAGGGTTACTTGTCTTGAAGTCCGCATGAACGAAGTTAACACACTAGTCGACCATGTGCTCCTTTATTCCCTTCTTGATGTACACCTATACGAAACTTATCTACGCTCACTACGTCATGTAATACATGACATCCCTCCTTTTCTTGAAGAAGAGAGAGAACAATAGACGTTAAAACTCAATCCGAAACAAAACATGCAAAGCTGAAAACTGAATGAAAAACTGGTAATAACTAGTTCACTTAATTTCAACACGAGGTTCACCAGTTCGACACAATCCTAGCATAAAACAAAGTTTAACATTTCAAATTAAAGTTCACTGTTTCAAACAAAGTTCAACATTTCAGAACAAAGTCTTTATATCTCTCAGGGGGTCTTCTCTGTCTCTGAGGTCTTCCACCTTTTGCTGTTGTTGGCATGCTAGGTACTGTTGCTTGACCAGCTACCGCGTTTTTGCTGGCAGGGGTTGACTCATATTCGTTTCCGGCACTTGCTTGTGCTCAACGTGCGATACGAGTTAGGGGTCCACTCGGAAGTGTTGTAGGCACTGCTGGTGTAGACCTACTTATCGCTTGATTTGGTACCGCGGTAGTTTCAGGTACTGTAATTACATCAGTACTAGCAGGTGGTTCTATAGGATCATCAGGGCTCACAAACTTCTTAACATGGGATGTATTCCTTGAGTACTGCGTTCCACTTGGATTTTTCACAACAACACTGTTACCGGTCTTGCTAACAACTTGGAATGGTACTGGATTAAATGGTGTGGAAAATTTGTCTCTTTTCTCTTGCCTCACCAGGACTTGATCACCAACTTGAACATCTGATGGTTATGCATTCATGAATTTATCAGCATACGCTTTGGTCTTTGCTTTCACTTCTGCATCTCTGTCGAGAATTTCAGGTCCAAGTAATAGTCAGCATGTAGCTGTGGTAGCTTTCCTCTCATCTTCCTGTTAAACAATAATTCGGCAGGGCTCTTACCGGTTGTCGCATGATCAATACCTCTGTATTTAGTCACATATCTTCTTAGCTCCTTCACCCAGTCTAGCCCTTCAGCTTGGGCAATGCGAATCTTCTTCATCAGGGATGCATTTTGTCTCTCCACCTCCCCGTTGGCTTGAGGCTACTTTGGTGTGGTCTTGATGTGAACAATTCCATTCTGCTTACAATATTCCCGAAATTCTTCTGAGCGGAATTGTGGACCATTGTCTGACTTGATGGTCAGAGTTAGGCCATGGCGGCTGAAGATTTCCTCCAGGTTGTCGATTACTTTCTTTGTGACGGTTGACGTCATGATTGTATACTCATAATAACGGCTGTATTAGTCCACAACAACGAGAATTGAGTGTCCAGATGGAAGTGGTCCTAGAAGATCTATGGCTAGGTCTTGCCAAGGCCCTTCCGGTAGTGTATTGGATTTCAATGGCTCGGGTGGGTCTGGGCGAGATACCAGTTGACATCCGTGAAAGGACTTGCAGAATTTCTCTGCCGCCTTATCCATATGAGGCCACCACACTTTACCTCTTAAATTTTGTTATGTACCAACGATTCCCAGGTGTCCCTCGTGGGCTAAGGGCCCAGACGCACTGGGAAAATTTTTGTTTATTTTGCGAAAAAATCTGTCACCAGTTCCCTGAGACAAGTGCACCCGGTGATTTTTAGATCTACCAAATTTTATCAAGGCTTACCAGACTTCAAATACGCCGTCGTCCTACCTCGCCATGATTTGAAGGATAACGTCAATCAAGAAAATTTTATCGCTATTTTTAGTCGGATTATTTCAGTCCGAAGCTCGCCAAAATTATTTCATATTTGCGCGGCAATCTAACGGTGTAGATGGAAAGAGGCTGATAGTTTCGAAAGAAATTGTTTGGGGCTGCGTCGGTGGGAGTAACAAAATAATTTGGATATATCAACAAAGTTGAAATGGTAAACTGGCCAACGTAACGGTGTAAAAGGAAGATCCGTACCTCGGTATAGTACCTAACGATCCTTACTCAGACTACAACTATTATGGTTCCCAAGTCTACGTTCCAGCTGAATCTCCAGGGCCAAATACTGTTCATTTGTACATCCCTATGCAAACCAACCAAATACACATCCGTATGCAAACCACCCGAGTCAGTCGAGTACACGTGCGAGTTACTTCACGACTGATCAAATTGAAAGCAGCCAAGGTGAGGATTCAAGAGCAGACGAGAGCAGAAAAAGGGGCAAAGGTCCAAAGAAACAAGCGGCAAAGTACGACTCGTTTGAGCCATAAGAAGAGCGGTATCTGATGAATTTATGAGTTTCATACTACTGCCACTGCTAGCTGGAGTTGAACGAATTCAAGGAAGAAATAAACTAGAATACAAGCAATAATATGTCGAGGCAACATATTCAATCGAAGCAGTTAAAGATCACCATAAGCCCATGACTCCTAAGATCTCATGTAACCTTTCCCGCGAATAGCGCGCAAGCAATGGTGTTTATTTTCGTGTGACTGACACTTGTGGTTAACAAATTTTTGGCTGTGTCTCAGTGTGCCCACGCTTGACAAATTAAAAATTTGGCAGAAACAAATTTTGTCGAGATTTTTGGAAGGTCGAAACAAATTTTGTCAGTCTAGTGCGTCCGGACCCCAAGCTGATTGCCTGAGATCTGAATTTGTTTTGTAATGTAATACGGGTATCTCTTACGACCAGCTGTCCAATTACACACAGTTGTCCTGCGGCTGGTGCATACTCTTTGCATTTCTCAAATCGGCCTGTTTTAATCGCTTCTCTAAGGACTTTTAACTCTTCGTTTGCTGCAGATGCTTCTTCGACCTCTCTTGTAGTTAATTCCCGGGGAGTGGCACTGATGGCTGCGAATCGGATGTATTCTTCTGCTCCATGAGGATGACTCTCTACTTTATCTGCTTGAGCAGGCGGGAAAGAGGGTCAGCTATATTACTCTGCCCTAGAGTATACACGATTCGGAATTCATAGAGTTGTAGGCGTATCATCCAGCGTTCAATGCGGGCACAGGGCCTGGAACGCGGCCCATAGATGACCTCCAATGGTCTGTGGTCAGTCACTAGATCAAATTTCATGCCATAAATGTATGCATGATACCTCTCACATACCTAAACGAGAGCAAGGGCTTCCTTTTCGGTCTGGGAGGATTTTGTGCTCGCACTCTGTCAAGCTGCAGCTGGCATAGCAAATCGGCACTCATGCTTCATTCTGATTCTACACTAACACAGCTCCAAGGCCGACTGGACTGGCATCAGCTATGACTTTAGTTGCTGCACCTTTGTCAAAATAAGCTAGTGTTCCTGCGTCAGCCATGCTCTGTTTAAGCTTCTTAATAGCTCAGTGATGGTGGCAAAATGAGGAATGAATCTGCTGCTATAATTGGCCAATCCAAGGAAACTTCTTACTTCGCTGACAGTGGCAGGCTCCCTTGTTTCTTGCAAGGCTCTGACTCTTTCTTCTGATGGGCCGATCCCTTTTTCAGAGAGAAGGATACCCATAAAAATCACTCTGTCCACATTGAACAGGCATTTTTTAGCATCGAGGGTTAAGCCGTGCTGCTTGAGACATTCCATTGTCTTATGCAAAAGTTAGTCGTGAGTTGCCTGATCCGGACCGTGTACTATAATGTCGTCAGAGATATTGTTGACTCCTCTATTCCGGCTAAAGCTGTGGATATCTCGTGTTGGTATTGCTCACTCACCGAACTCACGCCAAACAATAGACGTTTGTACCTGTATAAGCCTTTGTGTGTCACAAAGGTGGTGATCTGTCGCGACTCTGGATTTAGTTCCAATTGGTGATATCCCCACTTTAAGTCTAACTTGCTAAATACTTTTGAACCATTCATGTTGTGTAGTAGCTCATATACAGTTGGTATTAGGTATCTACCACGTATTATAGCCTTGTTCGCTTGCCTCATGTCAATACAGAGTCGTATGTCGCCATCTGCCTTTGATATGATCACCACTTGGTTTACCCGTGGTGTTGGCCCGTCTACTTCCTCTATAATAAAACAATTCAACAACTCCTGAACCTTTTTTTCTATCTTCTCTTGTAAATTGAAGGGGATTTGCCTCTGGGGTTGGGCTACTGGTTTCACTGCCTGATCTATAAGCAATGCTACTTGGACTTCAACTTTCCGATCCCACTAAACACCTCAGGGAATTTTTGTTGCAGTGTCTATTTGCTTTCAGCGATTGTGGAGATGTCAACACCTATCTTCAGCACCCCTAGCCTCATTGCGGTGTCTTTGCTCAGGAGAGGTATTCCCTTTCCTCTAATTACTAGGAATTCGGTCTGGACTCTTCCTTTACCCACTAGTACTTCACACGTGAAACGACCTTTTACTGGGAGGGGATTGCTGGATGCATAGGCATACAATTTTCTGTCGACAGGAGCGGCTTGAGATTTACACTTGATCTTCTTAGCTTTCAGATCTTCCCATGTACATTCATCAACGATGTTGTTGGTGGCCCCAGAATCTATCAACATTTCTAATTCTACTCCTCCCACAGACAATTTGAGCATATTTCACTGAGCTTTATTGGTGATCCTGAATGCATAATCAACTTGCTTCCCATTGGATTGTTGTTCTTCTTGCACCTGGTTGACTCCTGGCTTCTTTGGTTTGGTTTTGCAAACACTAGCAAAGTGACCTTTCTCTTTGCATTTTTTACATGTTTGCCCTCTGGCAGGGCATTTTGGATCTCCACCCAGGTGACCACTCCATCTGCAACGAGAACATTGACTGTCTCTATTCTTGTTTTCTGAATTTCTTTGTTGACCTTTTGATCCGCTTGGTTTTTCATACACCCTGTGTGCTTCTTTAGTCTGTTCATTCGTGCTGGGCTGAGACATTTGGTGTGTTACACTTTCACACTGTTCTGCAAGTCCTAATGTGCGTGCGAGAGTAGGTTCTTCCCTTTCTTCAAGTAATTTACGTTTAACATAATCTGACCTACGTTTGCATAAGATCGCATCTCTTATATGGTTATCAAAATCTGCCCCAAAATTACAGTCTTTCCCTTCTTTTCTTAGTCGGGTTGCAAACTGCAAGACAGTCTCACCTGGCTGGTGTTGGAGTCGGTGAAATTTTTGGCGAGCAAAAGCGGAGTTGACTTTGGGACGAAAATAGCCATTCAGTGCTGTTACAGCCGCGGCGTAGTCCGTTGCGTCGCCGGTGTCCGCGAGAGTCTTTAATTTGTGGTAATCCCAGTTAGCATAAATTGGTATTTTGCCGGCACGTATCGGAAGACTGGGGGTGGCTGCGAGGTACACAGAGAGTTATGGGATCGTGGTTAGTAAGTAGGGGTCGTTGGCAGAGCAAGGCATTCTATGGTCAGCCTTCACCGGGCGTAGCTGTTCGTTTTCTTTTTCGTCTTTTGTATAAATTTAGAGCGTTACTCGCATAGTACCTTAAGTAACTATGTAAAAATGTCATTTATAGGATACCCTAATACCCCAAGGGTGGCCCCACTGCCTTGGTCGGGGGTACACGTTCTCCGTTGTTTCCACCTGCTGGTTTTTAGTGGTTTTCGTGTCCGGCTTTGGTGCATTTAGTTTACTTCAATTGTAATAGGGTTCTGTTAGCATATCGATTTGGCGTTAAATAAACGGTGGCTTGGCTGGCCAACCCGCCCAGATATCAACTATTTGTGTCCGGTTGAGCAGTGAAAGCAAAGTGACGATTAGGCCCTTGCCATCCGCAAACAATTCAAAAGATGCTAACCATCGCGTCCAGCGTGGTCCCAACGTGGCAGGTTCCGAGTGACAATCGAACTTAGGAATCGCATTGGAAGCGCCATTTTCGCTCGAAGACATTGTGTGTCTCACAAAAATATCCTCGTCGCCAATGTTGTATCCTCCTAATGTACAAATTGGAGGGTTACTCGTCTTGAAGTCCGCTTGAACGAAGTTAACACACAAGTCAACCATGTGCTCCTTTATTCTCCCTTTGATGTACACCTACACGAAACTTTATTTACGCTCACTACGTCATGTAATACATGACACCAGCTGACACTCTAATCAACCGAAAGTTGTTGCATCAGTTATTGAGTGCTTCAAATAAGGCAGTGGCATATGAATGAGAAAGGCTTATTGTATTTGAAAAAAGGTCTTTTTTTTATTTTCCATTTAATAATAACCTTCATAATTTCCTCAAATATTTAACAATTATTCGCCGAAGGCGAGGTGAATATCGTTGAATAATCCCCGGGACGGAGTCGTGGGGATTATTCGACAATTTTCACCGAACCTGAGGCGAATAATTGTTTTAGTATAATTTCAGAGCTGAACAACAGAGAAATTTCTAAAATCATAACATTTTAGTAACATTTATTAACATTTTCCTTTAACATTTTATATAAACCGCGCTGAGCAGTTTATATAGCGTCATATAAGGAACCGCTCGACCAATCAGATTGCCGGAAACTCTTTGTTCAGCTCTGAAATTATACTAAATTCGGTTAATTAGCTGATTTATTTTTCACTAATTATCCTGTAGAGTTGTAATCGGACAGTGTAATCAGGCATTTGGCTGTAATTGGATAGAATAGAATTCAAGAATTTAAGAATTTAATAATTTAAGAATTTAAGAATTTAAGAATTTAAGAATTTCAGAATTTAAGAATTTCAGAATTTAAGAATTTAAGAATTTCAGAATTTAAGAATTTAAGAATTTAAGAATTTAAGAATTTAAGAATTTCAGAATTTAAGAATTTNGTTGTTAAATTCTATCCGTTTCCGGTGAGAAGTCTCAAAGACAACTCGTGGAAGATAACGTGATAAAATAAAGTTTAACTTCAGTCTTATCTGCAGTTTCCACATGAATGTTATAGGAAATGTTGTGTATTAGAAGTAGTTCTGCAAGACCTTCGGGAAATTAAATAGACTTCTATCAGCTTTTAATTAGCCGCCGGTTGTGTGTTTGCTTGATTCGAAAGGCGCCCTCTAGCTTTTTTCTCACACAAGGGAAGTCTTGTTCACGATGAGATATCCACGAAAAATAAGATCGTTTGATATCCAGACAATTTTTTGTTGATCTGAGTTTTTCTGTACTAGATAAAGTATTCGTTTGCATGCCGAGCAGACCCATTTGGGCTGAATACATATCAAAGACAAAAATAAAAGGTAAAGGTACCTATTTCTCTAAACAACATACGTGTTTAGTTACAATTTTAAGGTTGAAACCAGACAGGCGCCTCTGGCAGCCGTGTTTAGTCCGTAGCGATTTCACCTACCCACTCAACCCACCCCAGGGAGGACATCAATCACACAGCAATCTCGTGCGTGGGAAATTAACGTCTCCTACCCCAGCCCTGCAGGAGACGGGACCTCCATTTATTCGTCCCTATCCGAGAAGACTAGAATATCTAACCATTTCTTGATGTTAATGAAAGGAAGCATATTCTTCTCAATTAATTTTAAGACCCTGAGTGTTGGTACGGCCGGTATTAAACTCTTGACCTCCCGCCCAACAGTCCGGCGCTCTCCCAAGTGAGCTAACCAGGCGGCGGTTTTTTTAATGATGGGACTATAATATAGAGCTAGCCTTAAAAACTGAACCGTGGTGCCATATTTCATAACTTCACATTATAGATAAAACTGTCTATAGCCTGGACTAATCACGTAGCAACCGTGAATTTGTAAAGAATATTAATGAAAGCCAACTTAGACCGATGTTTCCTGCGTAGTTGAAAAGTAATAAAAAGTATGTGTTTTAAATAGATGAAAATCCAATTCAGACAGATGTTCCTTGCGTATTGTGTTTCATTATATTAAAGGAAGCCAACAATCGTTCTTCGACTAGAAATTCAAAGGTTGGAACACGATAAGTATTCATCCATTTTTAACGAAATCCTTTCATTGTTAGATTGTACCAGTAGACAAAGATGTCATCCTTAAATTCGGATTCATTGAAGAGGGAGGTTATCTAAAACTTCCGGAACGGAATTCTAGACTGCATGAAGTTAAGTTTATCATTAGTGTACTCAACCAGTGCAGTAGGGGCTTACACATTTACTATATGGGTAATTAAAAATAAACTCACAACACCATCACTCAAATTCTTACAAATGTTTTGTTGTATTTTCAAATGTCAATCTAGTGGTGACATGATGCAAATCTTTCTTGTATTTGCATTCATATTTGACAGCAATTTGATAATACGCAAAAACGACTCAGTTTATGTTATAAAAATAACTTGTGTTATTAATATGATCGAAACGCCTTTCACGCCAAATGTTTGGTATGTTTAAGCCACACTACCAGAAACAAACTAAAAAAAACAAATAACTTTATGTATAACCAATCGCAATTATGTAACGCTTGTGAAAGGAAACCACTTGACGTACACATATTTTACCAGATGTGTTTTGTTATCAATTTTGTAGTTCTGCAAGACCTTCGAGAAATTAAATAGACTTCCATCAGCTTTAGCCGCCAGTTGTGTGTTTACTTGATTCGAAGGGCGCCCTCTGGCTTTTTTCACATAAGGGGAGTCTTGTTCACGATGAGATATCCACAAAAAAGATTGTTTGATATCCAAACAATTTTTTGTTGATCTTAGTTTTCCTGGACTCGATAAAGTATTCGTTTGCATGCCGAGCAGACCCATTTGGGATGAATACATATCAGAGACAAACATTCGGGACTAAAATATGGAGCCAGACTAACTTTTTAAAAACTGGACTGTGACGCCACGTTTCGTGACTTCACGGTATAGACATAACTGTCTAAAGCCTGCGCTAATCACGTAGCAGTGGTGAACTTCTAAAGAATGTTATTAAAAGCCAACTTAGATAGATGTTTCCTACGTAGTTAGAAGGTAATAGCGGGTATATTTGTTTTTTTTTTTATAGTCAGAGTTAAACAGATGAAATCTAACTCAGACAGATGTTTCTTGCGTGTCGTCTTTCATTATCATGATTAAAGGAAGCCAACAATCGTTCTTTTATTAGAAATTGACAACATGTTTCACGACTTCATGGTATAAACAAAACTGACAATGGCCTGCCCTAGTCACGTAGCAGTCGTGAACTTCTAAAGAATATTAATGAAAGCCAACTTAGACCGATGTAGTAGTTAAAAAGTAATAGGAGTTAAAAAAGGAGTTAAACAGGATGAAAATGCAACTCAGACAGATGCTTCTTGCGTATCGTGTTTCGTTATATTAAAGGAAGCCAATAATCGTTCTTTGACCAGAAATTCAAAGGTTGAAACACGATAATTATTCATCCTTTTTTTGGGAAGTCCTTTCATTGTTAGATTGCACCGGTAGACAAAGACGTCATCCTTAAATTCGGGCTCATTTATGAGGGAGGTGATCTAAAACTTCGGGAACGGAATTCTAGATTGAAGTCAAGTTTATCATGAGTGTGCTTAGCCAGTGTATGGGGCATTAGCCTATACACTGGTTGAGAAACTACTCTAACAATTTCCAGCCACTTCTTTGTTAAAATGCAGTTAATTGTTATTTGTTCAACCCTCTGACAACGTAGGTGGTTTTCTATGTCTGTCTTGAAGTA